GGAGGAAAAGCACACCCCCCCCCCCCTCATAGTTCTCCTTCCAGCAGATATCATCTGAGCAAGTGCCTGAGTTTTTGGCCATGTGGCCAGTTCTGGAGGGAGCTTGGAGCAGCATTTTCTGCAGGAAAAACAAGGTCATATAAATGCTCGGTTATGACAACATTTTTTTTCCCCCCGTGCAGCCTCGTCCAACTCCGTCACCACTTATGAGACTTGTCAGACCTACGAACGTCCCATCGCCTTCACATCACGCTCCAAAAAGCTCTGGATTCAGTTCCGGTCTAATGAAGGGAACAGCGCCAAAGGCTTCCAGGTGCCTTACGTCACCTATGATGGTAAGAGTCACTGGGGTTGGTAATCGGTGTAACAGCTAAATGAACCACTTGAAGAGAACCTGTCATAACAGAGAGCTATAGGGGGAGATGTTGCTGACTCTGTTTATAAAAGCTGCACCAACCTGTACTGCAATGTCAGCACTAGGGAGTGCAAAGCCATAGTTTCCATTGTTTCAGCACTCTATCAGTCTAAATGATAATATGTTACCTACTCTCAAAAATATCCAAGTTAATGTTGGATTTTGTTACTCCGTATTTATATATTTATTTACTACAAGCTTTAATAGCACAGACAATTTACCTATCATTCCACATACTGTACATTCACATCACTCCCTGCCCCCCAAGGAGCTTACAATCCAATGTCCTAATCTCACATGCATGCACGCATTAGGGGCCAGCATGTCTCTGACATATCAGAGGAACAGAAGTACCTGGAGGAAACCCGCAGAAGCCCAGAGAGAGCATTCAGACTTCATGCAGATAATGTACTGATTGGGATTCGAAACCAAGGACCCCAGTGCTGCTGGAGTCAGATTGGGTCTTGTTGAGACCTGACTGCGTGTCTACTTATTTGTGATCAATGGGAATCATTCATCTTTTGCTTTTGGGAGCTGTAGGTGTACAAAATGCTGTCATTTCATAGACAACTGTAAATGAGGGCACCGAGCTGTGCTTAAAGGAGAACTATGAGGGGGGGGGGAGGCGTTCGCTCACTTCTCGATCCTGTCACGACAGAGAGCCGTGACAAGGGAGGGGCTGGATTCCCCCCTCCCCGCTCCGATCCGCCAGCGCTGACTGGCGGAACGGACGGGGGAGGGGGCGGGTACTGCTGGCTCTGCCTCTAGATAGGCAGAGCCAGCTGTCACTCACGCAGCAGGGCGGATCCAGACATAATTGTCGGGATCCGCTTCAGCGTCTCAGTATACCGCGAGCTGTAGCTCCCTATATACTGAGCTTAGGGTGACGGGAGGACGCTAGTTTGTGTCCTCCCATTACCCTAAAGGCTCATTCACATTGAGCGATTCGCGCGTTTGTCACGTGATTTGCATTTTGCGCGATATCGGGCAAATGCTTGCATTGAGCAAGCTAGAATCGCGGCAAAATCCGCTCCAAAAAGGGTCCTGCTGTAGCGACATGCATTGGAGAGCGATATCGCGCAGTAAATAGCCGCCATATCGCGGGAATTACCGCGCGATAAATCGCTCAGTGTGAATGGGGCCTAAGGAGAACTATGGGGAAAAGCCCTAATCCCATAGTTCTCCTTTAAAGCTTCTCTGCTTTAGGAAGTAACATAAGAATCATCAAAAGCTCATACAGACAGGATCTTGCTCCCAGAATTTACTAACCCAAAGCCGCTTTAACATTTACAGAAGATTATCAGGAGCTGATCGAAGACATTGTCAGAGATGGGAGGTTGTACGCCTCCGAAAATCACCAGGAGATATTGAAGGTATTTATGTTTATCCCTATTGTGTCCAGATGTAGTGCAGATCATTCCCCCAAACATGACTGGGAGCCCCACCTACAGAAGGGGTAATAATAATAATAGCAATATTCCTAGATCCCTTTTACTCCTTGGGCTCTCGAAGCCTTTATAAGATGGGTGTTGGGATCTTTTAAAGCAGTGGTTTCTCAACCTGTGTAAGCTCAGGACCCACATTTGTCCTCGGTCATTAAGTTGAGACCCAAGTCGTATTGCAATGGAACGCACGGCAGTGTGGGCTGCTGTGCTGGAGCTCCATTCATACGTGCATTGCTTGCACAGCTCCCATGTGCGCCCGTAGAGTAGCCGGGAGCCAGAATGTGACGTCACTCCAGTCCAGGCTCCTCTACAGGACACGCAAAGGAGCTACAGTATAAGCAATGTATATATGGATGGAGCTCCCTCCTGGCCATACCCCTAGGCGGCCCCACCTCAAGTCGACACTTGGCGCCGGGCCGGCATATTTTGAATGGCTGCTTGGTGTAAGAATGGACAGTTCTGCGCTCGGGGGAGGGTAGGGCAGGGGCGTATCTGCCGCGAGGCAAACAAGGCGTTTGCCTGGAGCGGCAGATTCGCTGAGGGCGGCGATGCTGCCTTGCCTAGGGCAAAGCTGCACATCCCCCCCGGACTGACCCGCCGATTCCCGTAGATGGCATCACCCACCTCTGTATAGTGCGCTCTCGCCCCCAGCGCCAGCACCACGACACAGAGCAGCAGCCGGTATCTAGCACACAGCGCCGCTGCTGCTTGCGGGCCGTCACGTGACGCGGAAGTCTTCCTCCTGTCATCGGCTGCTGCTCTGTGTCGTGGTGCTGGCGCTGGGGGCGAGAGCGCACTATACAGAGGTGGGTGATGCCATCTACGGGAATCGGCGGGGGCGGCGTTGCTGCCTTGCCTAGGGCAGCAGCAAAGGTAAATACACCGCTGGGGTAGGGGGAGAAAAGTGGAAGGCATATGGCGGCCCACTGAACAAGGGGTCGCGACCCACCAGTTGAGAACCAAGGTTTCAAAGGGTTAAAGGGATGGTCCTATAAGCCCAGGTGAATAGATGAGTCTTAAATCTGCCAATAAAGACATCCAGAGATGGAGCTCCTCAGACAGTGGATGGCAGTGGCCATTATACTCCCCCGCACACATTATATTTGTAGGTGGGTACAGTAGCGTAACAACCGGGGGGGCAGCAGTGGCGCGGGCCCCGGGCGAAAAGTGAAGTTAGGTACAGTAGGTGGGTGGGTAGGTAGGTGGACGGATGGATAGATTATACCCACATATATTATTTTTATCAGCCATTTGTTTTCTTTCTAGGACAAGAAGCTGATAAAAGCTCTGTTCGAAGTCCTGGCCCATCCGCAGAATTACTTCAAGTACACAGCTCAGGAGTCCCGAGAAATGTTCCCCAAATCCTTCCTCAGACTCCTCCGTGCCAAGGTGTCTCGATTTCTCCGGCCTTACAAATAAAGAGGCGTTCTGGTCTGCATTCCAGTGC